ATTTTTACGCATGGGGCTACTCATCGGGAGCACACAAAGGAAAATATTACTTCGATAATTACTTCGCTGAAGTACCTTACCCCTGGTTCAACAAGATTAAGCTCCACCGGAAGCCCATCGTCACGCTCAACAGACTTCGAGCCGGGCACTACTGCCTGAAAACCCACCTCCATAGACTCAATATTGTTCCCGACGCGATTTGCGACTGCGGAGAAAATATCGAATCTCCCAACCACATCTTATGGCAATGCAAACGGTTTGATGCGGCACGAGAAGACATGCTCAAGAACCTGATTAAGCGCAATGAATACCCCCCGTACAAGATCGAACCCCTCCTCAGGGACATGGACCCTGGGATCATTGCATCGATTGCTCACTACCTAACCCGCATCGACATCACCATTTAATGAACATACCTTAGTCCTTGCTACATAAATTAGATACAAACCGTATCTACTCCACCAACAACTGCCTTCACTTAGCCACGTATTTCAGTTTAGACTAACTCATCAGCATGCTATAAACCTGTTTCATATTAAGCCTACTTGTAAACTCAATGTAAATATGCCTTAACTCTGAATCTATTTGTAAGCATGTTACAATTTCTATCTTAAGCTTGTAATTGGCAGAATGGGCTCTCCAGCCCGACGCCAAATTCTTATATCTCATAATAAAAAAACAAGGTCAATACCCTGCCTACTTAGTGCGCATCGAGGAAACGTCATGGCCGGTAGACGGTTGTCTATCGAGCAGCATGTAAAATGTGTGCGCCTTTTCTCAGTTACTAACAATGTATCAGAAGTCCAGCGCAGGATGTTGGAAGAGTTTGGACCGCCAGCAGTCCACAGGGACACAATCGTCTGAATAAACAAGCAGTTTGATGAAACTGCCAGTGCTTTGACTCCCAAGCATCCTGGTCAGCCGAGAACTGTCTGAACTGCTGACACACAAGCACGTGTTGCTGCGGAACTGGCATCATCTCCTCAGAAATCGAAGTCTACCCGCCGTTTGTCAGCCCTACTGGACATTTGGAGGACAAGTTTGCGGAGAGTTTTGAGTGACATGAAGCTGATGCCATACCATCCATGACTTATTTATGTTCTTAACGAGGACGACTTCAACAGGGGACTTGAGTTCGCTGAGTTGATGCTGACCAAGTTTCAGGAGAACCCTGACCTTATCCAGAATATTGTCTGGACTGATGAGGCCAAATTTCACACATCAGGATCGGTCAACAGACACAACTGCGTGTTTTGGCGGCCAGAGAACCCCAGTGCCACCATTGAATACGATTTCCAGTCCCCGGGAGTGATGGTGTGGGGAGCGTGACATACGAAGAACTGATTTGCCCGTTCTTCCTTGAAGGTTGTGTCACAGGGGAAATCTACCTAAAGTTGCTGAGGGAAAGTGTCATCCCAGAACTTCAGAGGAGAGGGAACTTTGATGAACTGTGGTGGCAGCAAGATGGGGCCCCACCACACTTCGCCAATATTGCTCGGGCGTTCTTGCATAAAGTTTTTCTTCAACGCTGGACTGGCTGTCAAGGGCCTGTGGAGTGGCCAGCCCAATCACCGGACATCACCCCACCAGACTTATTCTTTTGGGGTTACCTCAAAGACAAGGTGTACGCTAATCCCATTGACAGTGTGAAACATTTGCGTGAGGTGACTGTTCAGGAGTTCAATAAAGTTCCGGTGAATATGTGTAGAAAGGCGTGTGAAAATGTTGCTTTGCGTCTGCAAGCCTGTGTTGACTTAGGTGGTGCCCAGGTTGACCAGTATCTTGAAAATCGATGGCTTATGTGTGTGCGATTCCATTTTTATAACCATTGCAACTGTTAACATGTATCAATAAAAATAACATCTAATCAAAAACTACATAATTGAGTCTGGCCCACCCTGTAAGTAAAGGTATCCCAGTAACAGACTGTGGAGGACCTAAATTGTGCAAGGCTAACTCAATGAGAGCAATCAAGCCCATTATGCCCACAGAGATGTTAAAAATGGTATATAACTCTTATTTTCATCCACTCTTGCCCTATGGAATTATTTTTTGGGGAAATTCTTATAGTATGCACATTTTCAGAATTCAAATAGAATAATTAGAACCATGAGTGGGTTGAGATCTAGGGACTCTTGTAGAGATGCATTTAGGAGATTCGGTAATTTTCCCATTGCAGTCCTAATATATATTTTCTTTACTGATGTTTGTTGCGAATAATATGGGTTTATATCACATGACATCACAAATTCATGGCCTTAATACTAGGCGTAATTTTGATCTTTATTGCCCTCAGACAAATTTGACAACTTACCAGAGAGACAATATTATATTTAAGCATCCTGTTAAACTCACACAATATATATGTGACAAACTCCGTCTTAAGTGCAACAATTTAATTGTAGTTCTTTCTTCTTTCCCTCCTCCACACTACATGTTTCGGCCCTAAATGGCCATCATTAGGGCCGAAACATGTAGTGTGGAGGAGGGAAAGAAGAAAGAACTACAATTAAATTGTTGCACTTAAGACGGAGTTTGTCTCATATATATTACCAGAGAGGATCTTATTATTTTGGTATTAAACTTTTTAATCATCTTCCTTTAAATATAAAAGCATTAATCCATAATATTGTTGTGTGTTGGGTGTTAACAGCGGTGTCCCCTGTTACGTAACTATGGGGGGCGTTACTGGCCTGTTACCATAGCAGCAGCAGTTACTCTGATGCTGTTATGTCACCGTTGGAGGGGGGGGGGTCCTGCATAGCGCAAACACGTCACAATATTAAGCAATTCAGAGCAGCTTTATGTGCTTTTTACATACTAAATCCTATTACACTTTAGATAAATATTTTAATTAGGGATAGTTTCTTGTTTAGCTATGACCCATTACTTGATCTATTGTCATGTATATGCTCCAATTTTGTATTATATTTTATAAACACATGGTAGGTTATGTAGTTGCAGTGATGTGTAGGGGTTTCATATGTTTGATTTATTGTTGTGGATTTATATGCATTGTTCTGTTGACTACTTGCTGATTTAGCAAGCTTGTGGTGTGACAGTTTCTGCATCCAATGGCTTCAGCCTTGTATGGATGTGCTGGAATGTGTAATAAATACAATACAATAGGGTTGTGAGAGGATGAGGTTCCCACATTTTCTAGACAACTGGCTCGTAGATGGCGGCAAGGTTGTCAGCTGTATGTGCCGGCCACCCTTTACCTCCAAGAATATTTGAAGAATATTCCTGGTACTCATTTCTGTTAGAGGCTGAGTCGACCGCAGGGCCATAATGTGGCTAGAAGGATTAGGTCAACTGACAAAAATCCAGTGACCTCATCGGGACTTGAACCTGCGACCTTCCGGCTTGTAGCATAATGCCTCAACCAACTATGCTGCCACGTGTGATACATATGTATCAAATCTTTCTGAAAAATGTTGGCACTGAGAAGTACCATAGTTCACTATTCTACTGCACAACTGAATACACTGCAACACATATTGATGATGACACTGGTTCAATTTTATGTAACAATGGAAACAAAGGAGACTCATGGGTTCAGCACCAGACCCAAATATTCAGATCATACTGCAAAATTTGAATAAAACCCTTAATTCTCATTTGTTCCTAAATACATGCCTTCCTGATCATGAAAGGAATCTTGCCACCATACATTCCCACCCATTATGTACACGTGGCATCAAGCTTGACAGAATTTATAACTCACACCTTGTTACCAAACTTCTCGTCTATCGATAGTTAATGAACGTTGTAGTTTCTGAAAACCACTTAATATAAAATGAATGCAGAAAAATAAAATATCCAATAATAAATTAATTTGCATGAGAATAAATCATGATGAATCAAAGTTGTGTATGAACCATAGTAATACAGTAATCTTGTAAAACGAGCGCTCATATTTTGCTGTGGAGAAAAAATGTCTCTGTTTGATCCTAGCCATTCTCTACTGTGAAAGCTGACACAATTCAAATGTTGTTGAATTATGTGGGCAGTGTTTGCTTGAAACTTTTCTAAACCTGTCCATAAACTTCTGCTACCATTTGGAAACAGTGTGCAATATGTTACTTCATATAACAAATAAACATTACCATAAATGGTCCCTTCTTTGTCAACCTGGACCTTAATGCACGGACACTATAAAATATAAATGATGCCTTTTAAGTGACAATATCTCATAATTCTTGAGAAAAAAGTCAATTATCAGTTCCAATGGCAGTGACATTTAACATGAATATACACCTGTAACAGAGACCTACGTAATGTAAAACTGCTGAGAATAATTCATCAGAGATGGAGCTACTGGAGCAACCATTAATGTACCAGCAAAACTGTTTATGTGGATTTATTAACCACAGTGAATGGCAGGATACTTGTTAATGAAGAATTTTTTAAAACAAAAATTGTTGAAAATTATATAAATTAAACAGAGTAAACCTAGTCTGCTAAGGGTGGTCCTCCAGGTTGGAGGTTGGACATGGGGTTAACAGTTCCTCAGCGCAGAAAAAAAAAACACTTTATTACTAAATGTTGCACAAGGCCTAAGACTTGAACGGATTCTTTGGAATGCTGTATGCAACGGAAAATGGACATGAGATATGACACATGGCATGTATGGAGTCTTTACTGAGCAGCTTCACTGACAACAGTGGCAAAATAAATAGTGAACTGTAAGTTAAGACTCTTTGGGAGTAAAGGAGATCTGGTCCATGGTCCATTGTCTTCCTTGAAAACTTCATAGTTGCTCAGTTCATAATAAACTTCCTCGCTTTACAAAATTCGTACACCGTTTCCAACATCATGGGCCTTCATAATTTTATTCGTCAGTTACTTTATTTACGTTTTTAAATCACTAACGCGCGATCTTAAACATAACCATGACAAATGTATCACATATCAAAGACGCCTTTCCACATTTTCTACCACTCATACCTACCTTCGTCAACAACGCACAGAACACATCGTCAGTATTACTGTCTTACCTTCACAATTCCTTATCAAACCTGAAAACAAATACAAAACTAAAAATGTTAAAAAAACAAATTTAAAACGCATTGCAACGCCACAACATTCGTTCACACGCCCAAAACCATAGGCAGCGTTCCAAGCAGCTGTGCTAACTGCCAGGAGGGCCAGGAGCCCAGAAGTCACACTGTCAGACGTTTTCCTTTCGGGAGCACAAGCTTACCCGCAAAGTAGCGCTGAACAATAGATGAATTAGTAAACACCAATTAATTTACTAAGATAAATGGCTTCATTTCCAGGCGTAGGGGCATAGATAAAAGCATAAGGGGTGAGGAGCGTTCGTATTATTCCAAAAAGTGGGCGGAATGAAGGTGTCTTATAATAAGGAGCTCAGGAAAATACTAATACCTTAATTCGAGGCAGAATGTTCCGTCAAAGCTCTGGTTACTACTTGCCAGGCTACTGGATATCAAAACAGAGAAGACCGAAATATGTATCTTCATCGTCACGTTACGCCGAGGGCACACCGAGAAAACTGGCGACCACAATTTCCGAGAAAAATCGCTGATTTCAAGCAGGCAACTGGTTTCCAGATTAACAGGCGCACACTAAGGAAACTTATGTTTGATTCGTTGCTCACATCATCTACGTCCGTCTTAATGCATGACTGTATTTTTTTATTCCGTGTACATGCCATTTGCAATGGAAGATAATAATAGTGATCCTGTCGCAATATGGTTGTAATTGAGACCGGTTAAGACGGCGTGAGAAGAGAGGACGATGACCATAAGGAAAATATCGGGATTTTAATTAATTTAATTAAGTTCAATTTATTTTAATCAGGAAATATCGCGTTCACACGCAATACAAAATACTGACAAGCAGTGCAACGAGTTTAGCAAGATAAAGACACCTGATAATGGCTGTATATACCCGAACCATGTAATGTGGAAGGAGGGTGACTATATAATGAGTTGTATTTAAGACGGAAATATATGTGAAATAAATGATGTACTAATGCAACAGTATGCTGAAATACAATATTAGGAAAAGAAAGCGTTCGGTGCAATCGTTATACTTTGACAATTTAAACAGAGGCGCTAATATTATTTCTAAAGAACTTAACCTGGATCCAGGCCCATTTCGTCTCATGAGAAATTCTTTCCCAACCCAAATATATTTCGTCCCGCCTAGCAAAGTCTTCGGTGGCGTTTGTTATATATACCAGGTTCTTGCTCAATAAACTGCACAGAAACAAAATTAACAGCTTCGTCAACCTTTAGTGCCATCTAGAACCTAGAAACAAATGAATCACTGACGCGTTACAAAACAGCTGATGCTAGGAAACCACGCGGCAACGCAACTGTGAGAAGACTTGCATGCTCCGTTGCCTGGAAATTGAATTTCTCGGTCTCTCCGCGAGTTTCGTTGCCATTTCCTCAATTTGCGCTGCTCCATTCACTAACATATATCCAACGCAGGCTGATAACAATTCTCTAAAATCGCGGTTGCGTTGCGGTTGCCTTGGTGTGCCCTTGGCCTTAACCCCAAATCACAATAATTTATTCTCTTTGCCCTTCCCACGCCAACACTGGCAAGGATGCTGCACGAAAACTGTTTTTCAAAAAATAAACTTTCAGAAAATGTAATATAAATGTTCGCGCCGGTTCGGTAAGGTCGGTAAGATCCAGCCATAGTAATGTGAAGGATAGTAAAGTAGAGGACACACTGATGTTAGAAATACACTTTCTAGGAAACAAATAAATCTTGGTTTTCATGGGACCTCTTAGCCTCACAGATCCAACGCGATCACACCTCGATTAAGAGAAAGACTATGATAACGTACGAGAATGTGAAACTGGCTCGGGATCCTAGGGATCGCTCGGGGTAGTGTCCGGTAGCAATTGAAGAATATTCTGAACGATACTGAACTTCGCAGTAATAAAAGACCGTAAAAGACGGTGAATATCTTTGAGCGGTTGGCCGACTGTCAGTTGCGTAGAATATGTTTCGTATTTAATTGGTCGGTTACTGTCGTTACGATGTTACTGTAATGTGGCTGGTCAGAAAATTTTAATGTGTACTCTGTGCTGCTCTGTAAACTAAAGAGCTTCCGATTCCTATTATATTTTCTGTCCCGGATTGGAATTTCGTCAGTTTGTCAGAGGATGTGTTTTTCGTTGATTTTTCTAACATTTAGTAATATTGTATTTTGAAATAAATTTCAGAAGCCATATAAAAATTTAACTAGTAACAATGGAAGTACTGCACACGTTATGAGTCGTAAACAAGTGACACAATACAAGGACTATAATTTTGAAGTACTTGTGGTATTGTGTAACGTCGGGTTTAACGTGAATGATAGAAATTGATATTAAATTCGATAATTATACCGTTATGGCATCATCATTATTATTCACAGTACTTTATATATTGTTTTCTCTGTGTTTCGTGTATCCACCAAAAGAATTCATATCGGCAGGTCTCACAGTTCAGAGTTTATTGTCAACTTGGCTAGGAAGCGAGAATGAACGTTTTATACAGTATCATATGCGTAGAATTGTTGCAACTATTCTCTGGCATTCTGTTTTGCCACTTGGTAAGTTCAAAATTGTCTAAATTAGTTGCATGGAATTCCAGTAATTCATGTGCTATAATGTGCCGATATGCCATACAAAATTCATATTCAAGAAACAATGGGATCTGACAAAATTCCATTTGTTGCCTCACCTACAGGGATTGTTTGTCAATCAGTAAGACAGTATGTGGTTATATATATCATGAATTTAGGAGAATGAGGGAGAAGTAACCATGACCCCTCTTTTAAGATACTAGCATTACTTTCCTCCAATAGGATGCACACTAACTCAGTACCTTGCTTAGTGCAAGGAACAGACTTCAGCTTGAGAAGCTGATACCCTTTCAGCTGCTCAAGAAATTTTCCACCTACTATGGAACCTGGAGGTATGTTAATGTGTCCACAAGAGTCTGCCATGCCTGCCAATGTGCTGTGTCCTGAGTCAGTTGATTGTCAACCCCCCCCCTCCCCCCACACGTTCTTTTAAGATCTGTTTTAATTATGTCCACTCCTCTTTGCATTAAAAAAGACGTGACTTTATCTGTATGCTAACGTTGATTACAACAATCTATGGGCAGAAGATTGGCATGGAATGTTGATATATTCAGCTGCATAAAAGTACGTAATTTAAACCAAGACACTAAAAGTACAGTAAGTAAAGCTATCCCTGTAACAGGCCGTGAAGACCCATAGGGTTGTGAGATGTTAAGGGTCCCACATTACCTTGACAATCGGCTCAAAGATGGCGGTAAGGTTCACTCCTCAGGAAAATCATTTAATTAATTCCTGGTACTCATTTCTGTTAGAGGCTCAGTAAACCCCAGGGCCTAGTGCAGCCAGAAGGATTAGATCAATTGAAAAAAATCCAATGACCTCATCGGGACTNTTTGAACCCACAACGTTCCAACTTGTAGCATAGTATCTTAACCACTACGCTACCATATACCCAAAAGCAAGATACTACAGTTTCAATATTTCTTTTAATTTCAAAATATTAAAGTGCAGTGCTGTTGCCACATTTAACTTGTGAATAAAAAGTATGCAAGTAGATCATTGTGCAGCTGTTGGTAAATAATTTTTATAATGTGTCATGAAAACTGGGCAGAAATTGAAGAACAATGGAAGGAATGCACCTGGACACTGCCATATAGTGATCGATGAATAACTGATTATACTGTTGTACTAAACAATTTGACAGTGAAACTGCAAAATTGTATTGTGGCATATCAAAATGAGAGTATATAATGACTTAAACATTTTTTTGCAGGTTATGTGGTGGGGTTGTATATTCTCGATGACTCAAATCATCAGGCTATATTTTGGCAAGGTGGTGCAGTATGGCAGTTGTTTGTATTTTCTGCTGTTGTGGCACCATTAGTAGCAGCATACCTGGCGTGGGACTGGTGGCGAGATCACTGGAAGTCGCATCCTGTAGCTAGAACCCTTGCTATGTTCTATAATCCCGATGCAGGCTGGATATCTGTAGCTTCAGATATCAACATTGAATTTAGGAGGTGAATATTGGACGATGTTAATCTTGAGAGAAATGCAATGCATTTATGTAAGATTTGAGGCTTTCACGGCGGTGACTATGAAGAAAGCAGTCTTCTGGGATTTGGCGCCGTGTATATGTGGTGTTAACCGACGTTTCGGTTCTCACGGTCTTGTCGCTTGCAGAATTCTTACACTTTTTCTTCTACCCTGAAGATGGAGGCGATACGATCCTCCGAAACGTCGGTTAACACCACATATACACGGCGCCAAATCCCAGAAGACTGCTTTCTGCAATGCATTTACTTTTTGGTCACTGAGGTGTTGTACTGAGAGTGGTATTTGTAGTTACATGTAACACAGAATATTTCATATCTGAGTGCTTAAACCTGTGTGAATAATGTGGGGTAGTTGCTCATAACTCTCCTGCAGAACATTAGTTCAGTGAGGAGTATCCAGACATTCTACAAATATGTTTTTTAACTAGAAGTTGCATTATGCTTCATGTGTATGAAAATTGAAAGTCTGAAATTATGACTGTAGGTAACTGTAAATTTCATTATAGTTCAGAAGCATGGAAAGGAAGATGTTTTAATGGCTTCTAAATGGGTATGATTTTTTTTAGCAGAATGAACTTGAGAAAGTTTCTGTTGTACATTAACTAGCCACTAGAATTTTGCAGATAATAATTCCTGTTAATTACAGCAGTCAACAATGACCTTGCTTCCAGGATGAAAGACGTTGCATCTTACAGAACTTCACACTCCAGATTCTCATACAAGATCTAGCTTTTCTTCTGTCACCATTCCCCCCCCCCCCAAATTACCTGTTTTTTTCATTCATAACAAGTGGGATTTTATAAATGGTGACATTTCATTAAGTGAGATAAGTGAGTAGTAAGAATAATTGTTTTGTTTTTGACAATCCCACGTATGATAGTGCCGTCAGGGGTATATTTTCATCGTTTAATTGAGTGAATTATTTATATATGTTGTCTAGTGTGAATTCTGCTGTGATATGTCATGCAAGTGTTTAAATAACAGTAATGTATTGTGCTGCATTTGTCATCAGTTCACTCCCAAGTCTCAATAAGGAAAAGTAATGCCTACCATAAAGAAGGCACATGAATTGTATTTTGGATACAGTGTCAGTGACAAGGACTATCACTGACCAGCTCATATTTGTTGGTTGAATGAATGAATGCAAAAGAGGTGCGCCCTCTTGGCCCTTGCGCTGTGACCTACAGTGATCTATTGTGCTTCCCCTTTTGATTATCCCCTCAGCAATCCTGCACTTTGAATGAAGCGCAGGATTTTGTATGTGGGGGCATCAAAATAGTCACTTGATTCCATAAAGTAGTGACTCAAGTGACATAATCTTAAATAAGCTAAGGCCTCACATTCACACAGGATATGTGTGGCTGTTTCATTTTCTTCTTGACACCTTTCACAAGTGGGACTGTCACTTAGTCCCAGTTTGAAGAAGTGTCCTATAAGGTGACAGTGTCCTGTAAGTAGTCCCACCACCCATTGTAGCTGGTTCCTGTTTAACTTCAACAGTTCCTTCACTCTTTTAGCAAAGGGTCCTCGTATGAGTCTCTTTGCTTGCCTGAGTCCAGTCAAGGATCCTCAGTATTTTTTATGATTCATATTTGTCCAGTCCCTGATTGCCTTTCTGGCAACACCTATAGAGATTCCACAGGCTGCTTCAGGTCCTATGAACCAAGGTCCCAAGGCTGAAACAAAGTTTCTACTGCCATAGCAGTACACACCAGCTCCAGTGCCTGTATTTATCTTGGAACCATCTGTATACCAGATCAGTTCTGCTTTTCTATCTACCCATCTTCCCATTCACTCCTGTCAGGAAATCTGACTGAATGGTTTTTCATATACGTGTCTCAGTATCATTTTGTTAGAACCCATTTGCAATATGGGTTATTTTTTCATGTCCTGAGTTACGTATGCATGTCCAAAATTATTGGATCTAGGTTTTCATTGATCACTGCATTGGAGATGGTAGATTCATGCCCTGGCCTCTGCCTCCAACTGTAGCTGCAGGGGGAGAGTCCAAGGAGTATCTCCAGTGCAGCTGTTGGAGATGTTCGAATTGCTCCTGTGATACCCATGCAAGCCAACCTTTGCAGTTTGCTAAGTTCTGCCTTGCTTGTCTTGACTTTAACTCTGGGCCACCATACTGTGGCACCGTATGTAATTATGGGTCTTAAACCGCAGTGTATATCCAATGCACAACGAATGGCTGCAGTCCCCAAGTTTTACCAGACATGCTTCTGCATGTTCAAAAAGCCTAGTAGACTTTATTAATGACCTTGTCCAGCTGCTTTTTCCGTGTCAATCCCTTGTCTAATACTAGACCAAGGTACTTGACATCGCTGGAGAGCTGGACTGTTTTATTGAAGAGGGTCGGTTCCTTAGGACCCTTTATATTTCTCTTCCTAGTAAACGGTAGAATTACCATCTTATTAGGATTGATGGAAAGACTTGTTCTTTCACACCATCCCTGGACCATGTACAAAGCTGTTTGAAGATGCTCTGATACTGTCGAAAGGCATTTTCCGTTTATGAGGATAGCCATGTCATCAGTATGGCCTACTGTATAATACCCATCATCATTAAGTCCCCACAGGAGATTGTCGATGACCAGACCCCACAGCAGAGGTGAGAGCATGCCCCGCTGCGGACACCCCCAGGGTTTCTCCTGATAATGTAGCAGCTATGGTTCTGCTTTCCAGCATAGCACTGATCCACCTGCATACTGCAGGCTCTGTGCCATGCTTTCCAGTGGCCTGTCTGATTATATCAAATGAGGTTCTATCAAAAGCTCCCTCTATATCAAGGAATGCTCCTAAGGCAATATCCTTGTGTTCAATCACACTTTCTATTCATGTTACCACATTGTGTAGTGCACTTTCAGTAGATTTACCTGTTTGGTAGGCATGCTGGTTTCGGTGTAGAGGATATGTCCCTGATATGTCTATCCACTATTTTCTCCATCATTTTCAAAAGGAAAGATGTCAGGCTGATAGGATGATAAGCCTTAGCCTCAGTGTAATTAAGTTTTCTGGGCTTTGCGAAAAAGTCACCTTAACTTGCCTCCAGGCCATGGGGATAAAACCATATGCCACGCAGGCTCTGTATATGCGGCATAGGTGTGGAACTAAGAGTTCTGCCCCATGCTGCAAAAGTGCCGGTACAATTCCATCTGTTCCCACTGACTTAAATGATCTAAAGTTATTCAGTGCCCATCTGATTTTTGATTGGTTAATCAGGAATCAGGAAAGTGAACCCTGAATAATTCATTCAGTGTTTCCTTTCCTGTTTGAGTATACTGCCNCCTGCCCATCATCCAAATTATCAGTCAGTTTTGAATCAGGAAAGTGAACCCTGAATAATTCATTCAGTGTTTCCTTTCCTGTTTGAGTATACTGCCCATTAGGCAGCTTAATCATGCTCACCTTATTGGTCGCCTGTTTTGCCATGATCCTCATGAGTCTGGCACCGCTTAGTACATCATTGATCTCCTGGCATTGCCTCCTCCATGAGGATCGCTTGGCTTTCCTTATTTCTTTGTTGTAACAGGTAAGGGCTTCCTTGTAGGTGTCCCACTGCCCTGTTCTTTTAACTGTATTAAACAGCCTTCTCGTTTTGGTTCTAAGCCCACTCGGCTGTTTACTCCACCAAAGCGCTTTCCTTGGTTCACAAGTGGTACTAGCCAGACAATTCCGATTGAAGGACGAGATAATAGCCCATTGCATCTGGTCAAGGGACTGATCAACATCCTTTATTGTGCATATATTTTGCGAGATGGTCTCCAGATTTACCTTTAGGTCGTCTTTGTAAGACTCCCAATTGGTTCTCTTAGGATTCCTATAAGTAGCTTGATCTACTATAATGTTGCTTATTTGAAAGCATATATATATCTGTGATCCAATAAGGACGGCTCATCAGATACATGCCAATTACTTATCAGGTTTCCTATTTTATTCGTCCCTAGTGTCAAGTCGATAACCTCCTGCCTATTGCAGACCACAAAGTTAGGCTCATTACCTTGGTTTAGAACAATAAGGTTCAAACTCACCAAATATTCCATGAGGCATTCTCATGTTAGGTTGATGTCAGTGCTCCCCCACAATGTGTGGTGTGCGTTGGCGTCACACCCAATGATGAGCTGCTTTTTCCTACGATGGCAGTATTCAACGACGTCCCTCACTTTTTTGGAAGGTGGTGGTTCGTCCAAGTCATATGGAAGGTAGGCTGAAGTGACGATTAGCTCTTCACAGCCTCTGCCCAATGTATATGTCATCCTCACTGTTGTGTCTCTGGAACAGAACTCCAGCAAGTGTAAAGCATTAATGTGATTATTAACATATATGCATGATCTTACATTTTCTCTGGGTATGACAGAATAGACTGTTCCCCCTGAATTCATTAAGCCTCTTATTTGGCCCCTATATATCCAAGGTTCCTGAATAAGTGCTACGTCTATTTTTACCTCAGCAAGTTGTCGACATAAAATTGCCGTAGTAGCCTTGCTGTGGTGTAGGTTAATCTAAATAAAGGGTCTCCAAACTACGGCCCGCGGGCCACATCTGGCCCACGAAAGAATTGTGCAAAAATGCGCCAATTGAACTAATTTTCCAATGAGTACTGGTAAAGAAAGTACTTGTTCATAGATTGCAAATTCATTAATTAAGATTGTGTTTAAAATATACTGATATTCCATATTATGTTAATATTAATATTATTCACAATTTTAGATTTGAAAGAACAATTTCGGAAGTGATTTGCTGATTCGGATGCCAGTGCTCAGGAAATTAGATTGTTTCAAAATCCGTTTGACTGTGATACTGCAGATGTCCCAAGTCAAATTAAAATGGAAATTATTTGCTACTTGTGATTAGTGTTTCAAAATTTGAACCTCAATTTAATCAGATTTTAAGAATGCAAAGAGCGTTCCATCATTCACATTAATTGTTTTATTATAATTTGTGATGAAAATATGAGCATTTGCTGCTACTGTCTGTTGTCATTAATATACGATAATTTATTCTCATGTGCTTTGTATTTAGTTTATGAAATTCTGTGCTTTCAATAAAACTCATATACCTAGAGTTATTAAGTTCTCGTTTTATCCGGCCCATTGAAAGTGCTGAATTACCTAATGTGGCCCGCGTTTTGAAAAGTTTGGAGACCCCTGATCTAAATGAATTGTATGTTGTGTGTATGCAGGTATACATGTGTGATTAATGTGTTCATTCTGTAATGATGGGAAAGGTGTCCTCCATACCTTCTTTCACAGCCCCTTTTATTTTATTGGACCTGGTTTCCTGCAAGGGAGGTCCCTGATCTGATATGGTCAGGCTGACGAGAGGAGGGATTGTCTCCTCATCAGATACTTTCTTCTGGTCAACTGTGGGAGTGGGTATATCATCCCCCTCCCCCTCAGAGGCCGATTCTGAGGGTACTGAACTGGGCACAGCAACTTCTTTATGCTGCTGCACCTCAGGATCTTGCAGGACCCTAACAGTTCCCTGTGAGTGTCCTGCCTATACCTTATATCCAGTTCCCTTGATAACAGATAAGGAATCCCAGTCTATAAGAAGGATCAGTCTCTGCCATTTCAGTTCGGATTTCCTATCCAGTATCCTCCAACTCTCAGTATGGAGTCCTGCATTAAGATTCCTGATCCGCAGGATTTTGGGCAACTTTGTCCTTCATCCTTAGAGCCAGCTTCACAGGTTTGGGCAGATTCTTGGCATCAGTAATCTTCAGCCTAGCCCCTGATTTTAATCTGTGATTATTTATGGTTCTAACGAGCCACTGTCCAGACTGTTGGTTGGCACATGTATATATTAATGCACCTCCCTCTAGTCTGTATGTTTTCAGGCGTGGTAGTTCTCCCAAAGGAGTCCTACGCAATGCGTGTTCCAGTTCCTCCAGAATGGAGTCCCGGTCTCCTTCTGTTAGCTTATCTTCAGGATACGTTTCCTTGAAGATAGCTAACCTTACATGTGTTATCACCTCCTTGTAAGTCCCTGGGCCTTTTAGGAGGTCTGCGCACATCCATGGGGCTATCCCCTCTGGCCTTGGCCTCTTAGGGGTTTCTGTTGAGGGTCTCGCCCTCTCTGATGCAATTGCAATACCTGGTTGTTGAATGCCCCCAGTGTCTGCTTCCATCGCTTTAGCCTTAGCCTTCTTCAGTTTCTGTGTAGTGCATCTGGACAATGCCTTCCTTGCTGGACAGAACCTATCAGCCTCAGAGGTCGGGCGCTCCCGACTTCCACCCACCGCAGGTATACTGGATCTACCAGCCCCCTGCAGCAGTGCATCAGCACACCCAACCACCGAAGGAGAGGCCCTTGACTGTATCCCAGGCAGTTTTCCAACTGTTGGTTCTTCCCTGCCCTTGGCTGAGATCTTGACAGTAGGTTTGCTGGTTGTGGTTGGGCCCCTTAATGGTGCGCCAGAGCTTCGAGCCCCCTGCTGAGGAGTTTCTCGTTGGGATCTCCATGGCGCATCCCTTTTCTTTTGAAGGTCCTTTGGACCACTTGTGGTTTTGAGTTTTTTGGTATCCATCTTGGTCCCACGAGTAATGAGGATGTACAAGGTCACCACCCGCAGAGCCCCATATGGGTGGAAGGCATATGGGGTTCTGCCTGGTGTCCTGAGGAGATCATTTATGACACCAGCTAAAGTACCACCCTGGTGTCACGGAGCCCTCGGCACGATGCCTCATACCTGGGCTTAGGTGATTGGCCCCATTATGGTAAAATCCTCACGAGTCTCCAGGACCCAAAGAACTTGCTTGGGGGAGGGGTGTATCCCAGATGACTAATGGGAGTGCGATTCCAGCTGCTCATGAGGTTGAGACCAGGAGACCTGCATGGGAAAATTGCCCCTGGGGGTAGCATAATGTTTATCGGTTCTTAAGCCTCCCGTTCCCTCCCCTCCGCGTGGATTGGTCAGACCATTTTAGAGTGTTTGGCCCGAAGGCTTTCGCCACCTTATTAGTACTCTAGGGAGACAACTCAAGTAGCTGTAGCTACCCCCACACAAGTGCTCTCCCGCATTCGTCCTGGGTAGGCCATAGTGATAGCCGAGTCATGTTGCTGTTGTGTGGGAGGCTCCGGTTGTAAACATGCCATTGCCCTTTATGGGATCTTAGCCATCAGTCCCAGTATTCATAATAGTTCAGATCCTAAGACTTCTGTTGCCCAGCGGGACCATGAGGAGGTGTCTCAAGGCTGTGTTCCGACGCATCCCCCTGGTCTGGGTTATGCCCCCACCAGATACACAGCCATAGTTCAGCCAACCTCACTGAGGACAGCATCATTACTACCCATAACAGTACCCTCAGAGGGTCACTGCTACTTCCGCCTATATATTTGTTGGTTTCTCTGTGTTGTGAATCTTGGGCACTGGATTAGTGGAAAACAACATGCTATGCCATTTTCTGTAAGCATGCTTTGGAGAGAAACAAGAGATTGTACTCGTACCTCAAACTGCTACTGCTGCTTGACTGATGTTTCTGGATATACATCCAATAACAGATGCTCTTTATAGTACTCAAACCTGAAATGAGCTTTGAGACAGGCAGCACAGAGTCAGGAATTTACCTGTACCTGAGGCCAGAGTTTTATAACCATGGGGATGATTCAGAGAAGGATTTGGGCAACAGAGAAATGGAAATTATGCAGAGTATTTACTACCAAAGTTAGAACACCCCATTTGAGAAACCAATGAAGAAAGCATAGGAAGCATTATTGTTAGTTTTGACAGCTTTCTGGGCAGACACAAAGAGCCCAACTACAGATGGTAGAGGAAATGCTTGAAGCCTAGAGGCTAATCAGCTATAATACATGACACCTCCATTATATGAATATTATTCTATGTTTGTTTCATTCACTTACATTAATTTGAAGGCCAAAATTGTCACTGAGTACTCATCAGTGAGAAAAAAATGTTATGAATATAAATTGTAGGTGTGTATAAAATGCCTGTTTTATTTGCATGAAACTCACAGACTTCTAAATAATAATAATAATACCTGTTATAGCCAATAACACTGTCCATACTCCTGCAGTTTTCATCCCTCTTGGTTGATATACATTCCATTTATAATTTATTGCATGTACCTACACACTTAATATCACCACTAAGGGATTGTATACAGTTCAAGTTCACTTTCCCTGCTAGTCTTGTCAGTTTCTCTGTCACTCACAGTCTTTAATACCACCATTATTAACAGGTAGAGTAGTATAATCCAGTAAAATAAAGTTATTGGTGATTTGATAACCTTAGGTTTCTGTTCTTTTGTAGGGTTGACAAGGTCTGCATTGAGACAAATCCAGTAGTGAAAATTATAGCAACAGACAACTGGATTGTTAAAGTTGCACCATACTGGTTATATGTAGTCCACCAGAGTGATGCAGCTCTGATCCTGAGTAGCAGTGACACTCACCAAGTTGCACCAGGCAGTCATCGTGAAGCACAGTACCTCAACATTGAAGTGAAGAGTGTACGGCCAGGAGTGAAACCATTTTGTATTAGGTACCATTTCCTTTTTTCTTACAAAATTGAAGTAATTTGGTTTATATTTTACTTCTCTGCATTTTTCTTTGTGCTGCTAAGTGTGTTTCAAATTACTTACTTTTCATCATCCCTTGAAAATGCTCTAATTCTGGGCACCACTTATGCACTTAGTTATGTTTTATAAATACTACAAGGGTTTGAACTTTGATAGTGGCAACACTGCTGTAGAGACGCCATGCAACGGAATCAAATAATGTTGCTTATACCACACGTTAGTTACATACCTACCTTACCTCAGAGCAAATGGACTCTCCTTTCCCACATAACGTGCATGCGCAGTGACAAGAAGCACAGAGCCTCGTGTTAGCTGGTGGTCTAATGTAGTGTTGTCACGATGTTTTTGAAACAAGACTAGCGGAGTTAGATAAAGACTGAATGTGCCAGAGGCTGTACAGCATGACAGTGTCATCAAGGTCTTCAAGAGGCTTGCAGGGAATCTGCATTGTGTTACAGAACAGTGGCAAGGTGGGTAAAAGCCTTGAACAAGGTACGCCAAAATGTGGCAGACATGCGTCGGCCAGGTCATCCTAGCGTCAGTGAAGAAGTGTATGCTCTTTCCATGTTACTGGAGAGTGATCGACGCCATATGATTCGTGAGCTGGCCTGAGATACAGGATTAGCGCATATGACTGTGCTTCACATTCTGAAGGAACGCCTGGGCATGAGAAAAATTGCATCACGATGGGTTCTGCATGTTTTGACGGAAATGCAGAAATGGTAATCTGTGGCTGATTTGTTCGATCGATGGGGCTGGGAAGTGCTCTACCATCCACCATACTCCCCTTAAGCCCTAGGGACTTCGACTTGATTCCTAAGATGAAGGAACCACTTCGTGGCATTCACTTCATATCTGTTCCAGAGATTCTTCAGGCAGTAGACCGCTACATTCGAACTTTCAACACAACAGGCGCTGCTAAAGGTATCCTACGACTTCCACATCGCTGGCAATGGGTTGTACACAGTACTGGTGACTACGTTGAAGGACAGTAAAACTTCGAAACATGCATCTATTTTGTATCAGTTGTAAATAAATAGTTGCCACTATTAAAGTTCCAACCCTCGTACAAAGAAGTTCTGTCCCCTGAAAATGTTTTCTGAAAGTGTGCAGGTATTCAGTGGACTGCTTCTGACACTGACAATGACACATTGATGATTACTGTCTTCTGGGTTGTGATGCTGTGTATGGTCAGCATTTCAGAGGAATGCATAAAGAGCAATTCTTTACCCCTGAAAATGGAGGCAGCAGGAATATGTAAAGAGAAATTCTTTACCCATGAGATAGGAGGCAGAATGTTTCTCAGAAATGTTTGCCAGACTACAGAGCATAACATCCCAGAAGAGAATAATCATCATGGTTTCCTCTGTTAAAGCCTTAACCTTTAACGTCTGAATGTCGCGTATACAGGTTGCAAGCAGTGACCGGAGTTGGCCGAATGACGTGTACACGTCGCAGGACACATGCTCTCTTTGGGAGTGCTGGCAGTTTGACCTTGCGTTGGGAACCTAAACAAACCTACATGAGGTCATGTCAGTGGTTCATTCCTTAGTTCTGAACAAAGAAATTGTTTATCTCGGTCTTGGTTTTGATACTATTGTGACATGTTGACCCCTACCTCCCCAGCTGCACGTAACGGTAATGTAGCGCTCGCGTAATAGGCGAGTAATCACCACGCAACTCTCCCTGTGGTGACGTCACGAGCGGAACCGATGTGAGCCGAGCAGAGCCGACGTTAGCCGAGTCCCCGCAACCTTGAAGCTATGCAAAGTGAGTCAACAGCAGTGACATCACCGAGGGATATCGCGGTTGCTAGGCAACAGTCAACAACTCCGGACAGCGTGGCTAGCAACATGGCACCAGACGACAGTGGTCCGGACCGAGGCTACGTAAGGAGCAGCGAAGGCTATTCACAGTCAGTCCTGGAGCTCCCTCCGAGTTAGTTCCAAGTTAGCCAGCAACCAGTCAGTTGTATTGTGGCATTTGGAGTGTAATATTTGTGATACTGCAGATAGCAGTAATTTTGAATCTGTAATTTGGGTGATTGTAAGTGCGAATGTGAAATAAAATTCGCTACATCAAATACATCGTGAAGTTATTTGTCACGTTATATGCCCAATACGTGACAACTGGTGTCAGAAGTGGGATTTGAACTTATACACGTGACCAACGAGCTTTGAACTCAAGACACGTGACAATTTGGTGTCAGAATTTTTAAGAACTTAAACACGCCTGACAAATAATTGGATTATTGTGCGTCGAGTATTTCTCTGCTACGAAATGGAGGAGCAGGGCTTTCAACTAATAATCGAAAAGCTGGCGAAGGCAGAGGCTGATAGAAAAGCCTGGCGAGAACAGATGGCCGCCATGCGAGAAAAGATGGTCGCAGAAACTGAAGCCACCCGAGCAGAAACAAAAGCCATCCAAGAAAGGATGGCCGCCATGCGAGAGAAGAGGTTGCAAGCCAATATGGATGCTTGGCAGAAAGAGATGACGGAGGTACGTCTAGAAGAGGAAAAGCTGGCCACAGCGGACATAAAACCTGCGACGGCACAACAAGAAGTGGTCCCCATAGTTATACCGGGCGGAGTGACGATGGCCTACCAAGAAACGGTGGCACATCCAGAAGATGAAAAGCCAGGTTCAGTGCACAGGAAACCTGAGGCGGCAGAACTACTAGAGGTACCCATACAAGACGCCGAAGTAATGCCGGTCGGAGAACCGAAGAAGAAAAGGCGCAGGGACCGACATCGACGAAATATAGAGAATTCGACACGGGAAAACTGTGGACCACGGATGAAGTTGGCTGCCCCCTGCAGGAAGACATCCCGTCGCGCGACAGTGGCACGACGTTGGAGAATTGCCTTCAAGAAGGATATTCCCCTGGGAACCTTCGGATGCCAGCGGAAAGAAGTGACCGCCACCGGAATAAAGATTACACGCTGTGTAGGACACAGGCGCATGGGAAAAATCAAGAATGAGGTCGCACCGGAAATCACCAAGACACGGACGTTCGGTAAGAGGCTGTGGAAAGGCCTGGAACACAACACTGGCATCAGGAACCGAGGCCTGAGACAGCTACTACAACGCAGAAATGACGTGAAGGACCTAGGCGGCGGACAGCCGCGATATGTGAAGGAAACAGACCTGAGAAAAACTGAAAGACTGCAGATCGGCAAGCGAGTAGCCGGATTTTCTGTCTGCTTACGACACGGCAAGGATTGGACCTTGTGGAGGGGTCGACCCCCTCCAAAACGAAAAAAGAAGCAGGGCACCGAAGAGGAGCCGGTAAAATAGAAGAACCGGCCTCTGCAGAGAGAGTGAATGTGCCATGGGAGAAAGTGATGGATGAATGGGACACAACTGGATCTTCTGGTGAGCTGAAAGGAAACCGCTCGAGACGAGTTGGTCTTAAGAAGGGAGCGGTTGTAACGGCCGGAGAACAAATGCTGCAAGAACAGCCTCAGAAGCAAAGGAACAGGGATGCACCGTTAGGCTATTCAGGACGAACAGCCTTAAGGAGGGAGCAGTGTGACATGTTGACCCCTACCTCCCCAGCTGCACGTAGCGGTAACGTAGCGCTCGCGTAATAGGCGAGTAATCACCCCGCATCCTGGTAGCTATGCAACGCGCAACGCGCGGTGATGTCATGAGCGGAGCCGAAGTGAGCCGAGCGGTAACACCGCTCTTTTCCAACCCGCCTTTACTTGTTTCAGCGCAGTAGGAATGGTGCTATCCTTGCTACATCTGTTTCTACCTTAGGACAGTGTATGATGGCTACTGCAAGTTGTTCTCACAGATCAAACTAAGGAAGATCAGTATAGGTACGGGAAACTAGCTGGGTCGGTTTGCATGAGTCTCAGGGTAGCGATGCCGCAGAAAGCGTTTTTCTGAGAGTTGAGCCAATTGACGTTTATTTACCTGCTAATTCACCACACTGTTAAATTAATGTATTCTTACGTTACAGCGTTACTATCGGAAAGCTATATCTCAGAGCGTGCAAAGGTCACGTCCGTTCAGTTCGGAATATTGTGAAAGTCTCTCCTTTTGTGGAATGACTTGCACCCCCACGCCGGGAATTCGAAAGATGGTGTTGACATATACATTTCATCCCATCTTCCGTGGGAAGCTTGAACGAGGCAACCCAATCATACTGGCCCTCATTCACAGGCAATTGTAACAAGCTCTGACCTGTCCTTTTAGGCGCGTCCGGTTCCCTGTACCCGAGCTAAATTTATGACTGATCATAAATGTCATAACTCCAGACTTCTTGTTTCTGCCAGAATCTAGAAATTTTCAACGTAAACATCGTATTGCATGTCCCAGATGATGAAATATGATATTATAGATCACGATACATTTCCAGTAATATCGAAACATAAGATTTTTGA